CCGCCTTGATCCCACCCGACAAACGCCCCCTCCCCCCACCCTCCCTTGGATTCCCCTCATCCCCAGACGGGCAAGTCTGGTGGCAGCATGCTGCAGCAGGGCCTCCTGCTGATGAGCGCAGGCGCTCTGACGGGGCCCATTCTGCCTGCGCTTTTTGTGTGCTTCTTCCTTATGCTGCGGGGCTGGAAGGGGTCAGTCAAGGAGCTATCCAGCCGTCGCCGTTACACACTCAACAGCCCAGTTCACAGCATGGAGGAGGAGGACTGGCCCGAGGCCAGCGCAGGCAGCGTGGCAGTTGTGGCGGCGCCGCCGCGGCCGGATGAGGTGGCGGCGCGGCTGGAGGCAGCGGAGCTGGCCGCCCGGCTGAGGGAGCTGCGCGGCGTCGCAGAGTGATGCGTCGGACGCGTGCGAGTGCCTATCACCTGGTGGACGTGGTGCTGTGCCACCTTGGGAATGGGTCTTGCAGGCCCGCTCACCTTAGATCTGTGAGCACCACAAATTTTTGACACACAGGGTAACGAAATCAATTGCTACAAATCTCAAAATTCAAAGCGGCGAGGAGGCACCTCGTTGACAGGGCCAGCCCTGTGTGCCTCATCAGGGTTTGTGACAGGTGGGTGCGTGCTACGTACCGAACTTTGGTTGTTGGCCAGCCTGTGGTGCTCACTGACAAACAGGCATTGTTATCACCTGCATACATTATCACCTGCATGCAATCTGCGATACTGTCATCACTGCAACACCGCAACATGTCTTCGGTTGTGGGGGATGTGGTCGATTTCATGCTGGAGAGCTAGTCAGCATTGGCCACCCCAGCTGCTGAGCTGCTTTGCCGTGTTCAGGCTGAGTGCATACACAAACAATATCGACCCCACACTCAAACCGATTCAGCAGAATTAACTCAACGCGCCCACACTGTGCATGTGGGTGCGCCGATTGTCCAATTGTGTGCAGCTGCACGCCCGTGGTTGCTGCCGTAATACTTCCTGGCCGGCCATCGCCCGAGCTGTTGTAGGAAGCTTGCAGATACGGTATGACATGCAGGCCTTGAGCTTGCAAAAACGAAACATCCGTCGCGCTAGCATGAAGCAATGAAGCAGATGATCGAGCTTCAGATCGGTTGCGTGCTAGCAATCCGCGCTGCCAGATGGCGCCTACAGTCGCTTCTGCCATGCGTACGAGTCCCATAATTGCCTATGGGTGAGAAGGATATGTTCCCCGATAGCATGCCCCTGCGCAGAGCCGATGCAGCGCATTGTATGCCGATCCACACCTCGAGCTGCTCAGTCGACACAGCAAGTGCAGAGATCCTGTGCAGTACCGGTAGGATGCAGCGCCACACTCGCGACCTCCTAACGGTGCAGGTGCATGCTCCTGTGGGTTGCGCTCAGCGCGGTTGTCATTCTTACGAACAAGTGAGTCAAAATGCGCCCGTTGACAGCAGCTGACCATGCCCTCAGCAGGCCCATGTCAAACAACCAGACACCTCCACACGACCCCATCGGCATCAGCCCCCCCACACCCTGGACCCCAAACCGCAGGTGGATCCTTGACCCGCAGCTGGGCGGCTTTCCCTATCCACTGACCCTCACCGCCACCCACATGACCTTTTGCTCAGCGGCCACTGTAGTGCTTGTGCAGTTTGGCGCTGTGGCACGCCCCCCTGCGGTGACGGTTGGCGTGTTCGCACGCACCATCGTGCCCATCGGCGCTCTGTTTGCCATCACTCTATGGTTGGGCAACGCCGCCTACGTGTACTTGCCTGTGTCGTTCATACAGATGCTCAAGGTGGCGTTGCGGGGCTGGGGGAGGAGGGCGCTGCGCATGGGGCCAAAGCCAGGGTGGAGCACTTCGAGCTGCGCGGAGAGCGATCACGTGACCAAGGATCCTGCTAATCGATGGTGCACATTTGGGGCTTGACGGGTGACATGTCCACCCGACACCGTGCCTGGTGTGCAGGTCGAGCTGGCACACCCGTCATGAGCCCTTCCACCTCCTCACAACCACTCATACACACCCAGGCTGTGACCCCCTTGGTGGTGTATGCTGTGGGCTGTGTGCTGGGCACTGAGTCGGCGTCGTGGCGCATGCTGGTCAACCTGGCGGTGGTCGTGCTGGGCGCGGTCATCGCCGCGGCTGGTAGGCAATGATTGCATGCCTGGATGCTCGTAACTGCTCTTGCCTTATTTATCAGTCCGTCACCTGCCAATCCCAGTGTACCTGTGATGTTGACCGCTCTTTCTGCCCCCAGGTGAGGTGCGCTTCATGCTGCTGGGTGTCATCGTGCAGGTGGCGTCCACGGTCAGCGAGGCCACGCGGCTCACGCTGGTGCAGCTGCTGTTGCAGGGTACAGATATACGTCTCACGCCTCTTTCCACCATGTGAGGGCACAACTCAAGAGCCCACCCAACATGCACTGTGCATGTGCGCCTGGCTGTGTCTGCACACGTGCGCACTTCTAATGCATACCTACACCTGCTTGCTGATCATGCGCAGATCACTTGTCCCTTTCTACGCTACATCAGCCCTCTGAATGTGAGCGCCCCGCCCCCCACTTTCTCAATAGGTATTATGTCTCCCCCGTTTGCCTGTTCTGTCTGCTGGCGCCTTTACTGTGCCTGGAGGTGCCCAAGCTACTTCACTCAGCAGGGGCATGGGGCCGTGTCGGCCCTGGGCTGCTGCTGATCAGTGCGGCCCTGGCCTTTGGCCTCAACCTCAGCATCCTTTTGTTTATTGGCAAGACCAGCGCGCTGGTGGGTGGGCTCTCCTTGAGGTTGTCAGTTTGTGGTGGTCGGCGTGCGTGAGTTTGAGGCCACCCCTTCCTGCCGTGTACGCAACCTTCCCTCTCAACCCTCCCTCCAATGTACGCACAACACCACACTCCCGACACGCCTGTGCCACTCTCACTTATCATCCCCTATGCACCAAGACACTCAACATATCTGGCGTTTTCAAGGACTGGGTGCTTATAGCCTTGTCAGTGGGGGTGTATGGCAGCCGCGTCACCCCGCTGCAGCTGGGGGGCTATGCAGTGTCCCTGGCAGGATTGGCCGCGTACAATTACGCCAAGTTCCATTCAAGAACGAGGCAGGGGACGCAGGAGCCGGCAGTTGAGGAAGGGCAGAACAAGGGGTGCAACGATGAGGAGCAGCAGCCCCTCCTCAAGGGCCAGCCCCAGGCGCACCGTCCCGAGCAGCAGCAGCAGCAGCAGCAGCAGCAGCAGCAGCAGCAGCAGCAGCAGCAGCAATAGCAGCAACGGTCTCAGCTATGCTCCATCGGCACTGATACTTCCACATCAGCAGCCAACGGCATGACGCGCGATGATGTCTGTGAGCAAGAGACTGTTTAGATGCAATGCTTTTAGTGCTCTACCATGCCCATGAATAACCATCGTGCTTTGACCTACGCAGCGCCGCAATGGCGCTCGGCCCTCATCCTGCAGTGTGGGGTGTAACGCGGGTCCAACACACTAAATTGCCACACCTTGTGGGAGTGCAAGCCCCTTGCTGACAGTGATGTTTGCTCTCAATGTGATTGCAATGGCAGGATGGGGATGTCATCAGCTGTCCTGTACAAATGAAGTAGGGTCTTGAAGTGGCGGTCAGCTGATGCTGCATTGCCTGTCTGCAAGATGCAAGCAGTGCACCTTGATGTTTGCGAGCAAAATGCTTGCCCCACAGTAGTCAACTGGCCTGCTGCTGCAGCGACTGGCGGCTGCCCTTACCTTGCTTTGCTGCGACAAGTGGTTACGAGTAGCTTCAGTGATCTATTTGCTGAGTATACGAGGACGGCAAGCCCTCAGGTGGAGCGTTGCCGTCGGTGGCACGCCAGGTTCCCACTATACAGGCACACCCTAGTGTGGGTGGCACCTCCCCCGTTTGCCGCTGTTTTGTTGGACGGTACTGGTACCGTACCAGCCACCTCCAGAAAATCATGTGTTCATCATTTTTGCGTGACGCGTCAATCAACTAAACGGTCTCTGAGTGTGTAGCAAGGGCTGCATCCAGGGGGCAGCGCTGCTGATCTGCGAGCTTCTAGCGACGCATTGGCGTAAGCCAGCAGACTATAATCGAAAAGAAAAAACTTTGGTGACAGCTGGCTGCGGTCGGGCGTGCACCCTTATTTTAGCAACGTGCCACGGATCTGGGTGTGGCCCGGCTCAGCAGCGCTGCTCTAATACGGTAGCTGCTGCAACTTGGTCGACGCTCTGCTGCTGCAGTGCCAGGCACGCGCCCCGCGGCGGCGCCCGGGGCGGATGGCCGCAGCCGGCCGTGGTGCGCAACGGTCCCAGTAGCGCTGCGCCCGGACCGCGGCGGCGGCGGCGGCCAACACCTGCAGAGCGCAGCGGCGCTGGACGCCGGCTGCCCCAGCAGGGGCAGGCTTCATGTCGTCGGTCGTGCTGGCCACAGCGGGCTATGATCACACGATTCGCTTCTGGGAGGCGACCAGCGGCATTTGCTACCGCACGCTGCAGTACACCGACTCTCAGGTCAACAAGCTCGAGATAACCGCCGAGAAACAGTATGTCGCAGCAGCAGGCAACAGCCAAGTGCGGCTGTTTGAGGTCAACAGCAATGACCCGCAGCCGGTCATGAGCTATGACGGCCACGCGGGCAACGTGACAGCGGTCGGCTTCCAGAAGGATTCCAAGTGGATGTACACGGGTAGGGCGGGGAAGGCTTGTCAGGGCCAGGGAAAGCATGCGGAAGCCGCTGTTGTTTGGAGGGGTTGCAGGTGCAGGGCTTGCCATTGTTTGGGGGAGGGGGAACCCTAATGGCAGCAGGACAGGGCTGTGCTCTGGGGCTGCAATGTCGCTCCCGCACCTAGGCATCACGCTGGTGGAGTGAGGCTCCCCATGCCTGTCAATGCTGCAGCTTTGTCAAGCTGCCAGCCGCCAAGGAGTCGCTCAGCAGCCACGCAACCTGCCTGCCTGCCGGCTTGAACCCTGTTGCAGGAGGAGAGGACGGCACTGTGCGCGTTTGGGACTTGCGCACCCCCGGATGCCAGCGCGAGTACGGGAGCAGAGCGGCTGTCAACACAGTGGTGCTGCACCCCAACCAGGGGGAGCTCATTTCAGGTGGGGGTGGCGGAGGGGCGAGCACAGGGGAGGCACAGGGAACACTCTGCTGAGAGCGGCCACAGCGAGCAGAGGGCTGTTAGGGCGTGGCGATCAAGAATTGAGTGCGACTTGCGCCTTGACGCTCCCACGTCGCAGCATCCAGCACCATGTTGGCGCACCCTCTTTGTGGCCGCAAGCACGCACACCTCGCAACCCATCACACCGCCAGGCGACCAGACGGGCCACATCCGTGTGTGGGACCTGACGGCCAACGCGTGCAGCTGCGAGCTGGTGCCCGAGGTGGGCACCGCAGTGCGGTCGTTGACAGTGGCGCTGGACGGCAGCATGATCGTGGCCGGCAATAACCACGGAACCTGCTATGTCTGGCGGATGCTGCGCGGCACAACGCTGACGACGCACTTTGAGCCGCTGCACAAGCTGCGTGCCCACGGGTCCCACGTGCTCAAGTGCCTCATCAGCCCGGACGTGCAGCAGCTCGCAACCACCAGCAGCGACAAGACAGTCAAGCTCTGGAACCTGGACGGGTTTGGCCTCGACCGGACGCTCACCGGCCACACGCGCTGGGTGTGGGACGCCGTGTTCAGCGTGGACGCGGCCTACCTCGTCACGGCCTCCAGCGACGCCACGGCGCGGCTTTGGGACCTCTCCTCGGGTACGCGGGAGGGCAACACGTTCAAGGGCAAGGTTGTTGCGGGCTTCATCGTCGAGCGAGGCATCCACAATGACTGCACAGCTGCCACGGGGTTGACCTGCGCAGAGAGCAGCACGAGGACGTCTTTCTCATGCCTTGCTTGCCTTTGCCGCGAGCTTTGTCCAACGAGTGCACCCAGACACCCGCATCTCGGCCAATGACAGGCCCTCCACTGCTGCCCCACATTCTGCAGGCGAGGCAATCCGCACATACAGCGGGCACCACAAGGCCATAGTCTGCTGCGCCCTCAACGACAGCGCCATTGACGGCCGCGACGGCGAGGCGTAGCCGCGCGCCTGAATTTTTCTGGGGCACCCCATCACTTGAGCCGCGTGATGTCCTCTTAGCAATGTAACATGTCATTTGTGTTTTTTCAATGTTCAAGCGGGGGGGGGGGGGAAGTTCGCGCGGGCGGCAGGGCTGGCGGGTGGCAGGCTGTTGCGGGCCGCCGGCATGCGCGTCCAAGCACAAGAAGCTTCTGCAGTTGGCATCGTAACTTGTGATCAAGCTTTTCCGAATTGATTGGTACACAGTTTCAGACGGTTGGCACAGCATGGTGATCAGGTGGTGGAGGCGTGTAGGCGTCTGCATTGAAGTCAGCACACGAGTCAAACGTTCCTTTCCGCACTGGTGACGCATGTGCGCCTAAGATTCACGTCAGAAGCTCGGTATTGATTGTCGAATTAGTTGCTTTGCGGTTCTCTAACAGGTCTGTCCGCGCGATCCCGGCGCGGCTCTGATCTGAGAACGAGCACGTATTTGTGAAGGCGCGTGCAGTACACACGCGTACAGCGGCTTTGACTCCCAGTATCATCATATTGAGGCACGGTTTCGGCGGACTCCCCGCACTTGCAAGGGGCCACCACCTGTGAGTGCTGACAGCGCTCACACATGGCGCGCTCCAACCCCAAGCGAACTGCAACACAATTTCGAGACTGGGCGCAAAATGAGAGCCAAGAGAAGGTGTGCTGGACTTATGGACCCCACACGCAGCTGCCGTGCGCGTGGCAAGCCTGGCCTGTAGAGTGGTGGCGGTCCGTACACCGTTGAGTCTGCGGGTGCGTGCGTCGAGTGTTCCGCATCGAGGCCAGCTGTAGCTTGTGCCCGCCCCGCACACCAGTCAACATGTTGATCTCCAGATGCTAGCAGGTGATTGTTCCAATCGACCTCACGCATTGCGTGGCGCCCCCGCGCAGGCGCAGGATCCGGAGCATGAGGACAGTGAGCATGACGACGGCAAGCAGCAGCAGCGCAGCTTCACGCAGCAGGTGGTGCGCGCGATCTACATCAAGTGGCGCGCCCAGGCCAAGCGTGTCAGGGACTATCGACGGCTATTTGCGCTGATCGCGTTCATCGGGCTGCTGCTGGGCGTCCTGCATGCGCAGCGCGGCGCCGCGACTGCATTCCGTGTGCACTCTACGCTTTCAAGCGTGGTGGGCCTTGATGGCAACGCCGCCACCATGCAGTCTTCTGACGGCATTTACGACTGGCTTGGCGGCGTGCTCACGGTGGGCTGGCGGCCCAAGGTCTCGGGCAGCGTGACAAGGGCAGCTGGTGGTGTTGGCTGCAGCAGCTGGTAGCCAGTCTTGCAATGAAGACGGGAAGCCCGTGCACACGCACACGCACACGCACACAATCTCGCACAAACGTGCACACACGTGCGTTCACACACACGCAAACGCACACACATGCACACACGTGCACACATACGTGCACACACACGCACACACACGCGTGCAGGCATGTCAACTCACATGCATCGCCTACCTACCATGTGCAGGCTGTGTGGAAGGATCCCGTGTGCGGTGACGGTCTGTGTGAGACGCCTTTTGAGTTTGCGTCATATGGACGCTTCGGCTGCCGCGCGGACTGCGGCAACCTGATTGACCTCCAGTCTCTGATGTCCCTGGACATTGACCTGTACTACAACTTTGGGCACCAGACAGGCAGCCTGCCCGCCGCGGTGGGAGGTTGTACGGCTTGCGGGGGGGCCAAGCAGCCCTGCCGAACAAGCAGACCTGCTGTTAGTTGTGTCAGGAGGCGTGCGGGGCGGTGGCCACGGCGGCAGTCTGTTCTTGCGGGTACGTTGCCTGTCACGCAGCCTCCGTGGGGTCCTGCTATTTGCGCAACTTACCCCTCCCCCTTTCGCAGGAGCTGCTGTCCCAGGCAAGCTGGAATCTGTGCCCTGAAAAGATCCAGTACTCCAGTGACTGTTACTACCAGGATGATCAGGGCTTTGACGCCATAGCGGGGACACTGCACGTAACCCTGCCAGACATACCAGACGGCTCCTGGACGCTGCGCGTGAAGCGTGATCTGATGAGCAAGGTCAGCGGCGCGGTGCGCAGCACAGCAGACGTCGCTAGGGCCGCAGTCTGGACAAAGGTGCGAGAGTGTGAGGCCCGGTGGAATGAAGGCCGGAATTATGCTCTGCGGTGGTCAAGCGGTCGCACTTGATGACCTTGTTGAGGCAGCTGCGGTGCTTGCTGAGATGGGCAATGACAAGCGCTAGTCTTCAACCCAGCGCTTATCCTGCTCCGTGGGCGTGCTCGGATCCTGAATGCTGAAATGGACAGGGCGCCCACCGCAATCGCGCCCTGCAGCACAGCTCTTTGCAGTTTCAACCAATTGCTGGATCATTCGGGTCACGCCTGGCCTGCCACACAGCATCATTGCCCTTGACCCATGAAGGACTCCACCACCCCCACAGGTGTATGTTGCTGAAGCGGCTGTGGCAGCAGAGCAGGCCTTTGAGCAGAGCCTGCTGCAGAAGGCGCTGGATGCCGCCCGCACCCCCTTCCTGAGCTACCTGCCCACCCTGTGGACAGTGACCCGCGCTACAGCGCGGGACGCGTTCGACGCGCAGCAGATGCACGATGCCACCTGCGTCTGCGGAGCCGGGGCGACTGCTGCCTTGCAGGGGACAGCTGGCTTTGTGGACGAGGCAACCTGGCAGGCCGGGACCAATTGCACGGGTGAGGATCCAGAACGTTCAGGGACCAGAACCAGAGGGCAGCCACCAACTCGCGTCACAACGCCAGCAGCTGCCTTGGGCTGTCTTACTCATCCTCCAGCACTGCTCACTTGCTTATGTACTTCCCTTTCGCACGCCTGCCCTCCTTTCATCAACCCATGAACAGGCGTCACTCAGCTGTCGAACCGTGTGTGGTACGCTAACGGCTCTTACAGCATTGTCACCCCCGCGTCAGTGGACGCCACCATTTGTGCCATAGCGCTCGCCAACCTCACGGCCCACAGGGCCACCCTCAACACCACCATGCTCAGGCGCGTGGCGCTGCTGTTGCTGGGTGGACTGACTGCCTATTCCTGCATCGTTGATGCGCTGCAGGTGGTCTGATGTCGTGGCAAACTCCGGCACGCTGTTCCCAACGGCCCTGACATTCTGCCCTGTCTTACACTGCAAATCGCACGCGCTCACCGCAGCTGGCTTGTTTCCCAGCGCCTGGGCAACCAGGCAACCACCGGCAAAATTGCCAACCGCACCGCCGTCATAGCCTCGTTGCAGGCAGCCCTGGCATCAGACTACCCAGAGCTGATTGCGCCGGCCTTCACAGCGCCAAAGGGCAACAATGCCCTCGGTTCGCCAGCGGTGCGTCATGGGTGGGGGCGCCTACACGCTGCACGGGGGCAGCCCAAATCCGGCGCCTTGAGGCTGCAGCACGACTTTCCACCACTCTCCTGCTGACAAGAATGAGCGACCTACACCTTTACTGCGACAGGACGCCACCATTTCCGCCCTGGCATCGCTGTTTGTGGACGCACCATCCTTTTTGGCTAGTGGGCCCCCCGCCCATCTAGCCCTGTTCAGGCGGCGGCTGACCCAGGATGCTGGCATGAGCTTTGTAGCCTGGGGCGACAGGGCCGCGGCGCGCATGAGCGAGATTGCAGCACAGCAGGCAGAGGTGAGACTTTGTGTCTTCAGAGGGAGCAGCTCACCGGGCTCCATCGTCCGTGTCCGTGTGCGTGTGCGTGTTCACGTGCGTGTGCGTGTGCGTGTGCGTGTGCGTGTGCGTGTGCGTGTGCGTGTGCGTGTGCGTGTGCGTGTGCGTGTGCGTGTGCGTGTGCGTGTGCGTGTGCGTGTGCG